CTTGCATCAAAAGCAAATAACGTCAGAAAAAATATGGACATCCTTACCACTTTTACCTTTTTTCCACTTTTTCTTATTCTTTGGTGAGCTTTATGATTTGCTCGTGAAGTTATTCCATTCGTCACCAACTAAGCTATCTCTTTATATATCTTCAATTTTTAGAACAATCGTTTCACCTGCATCCAAAGTCTTTGAGCCAAACCTTGCTCGAAGGCAATGAGTGAGCCAATCAAATTATCAATAGAATAATCATTCAAATCTTTTAATTCACAAATAGCAACTACTTTGGCATTAAACTTATCCAGTAGAAAATGAAGAATTTTGTTAACTTTTTCAAAATTTGAAAATTCTTTTCCTAAAGCATGCAATGAGTTTATAATTTGAATGAATCTGGTATACATGTCTAAGATCGTTTCATAATGTTTCATGGAAAGTAATTCAAAATCATGCATTAACAAATTCAACTTGGATTGCTTGATTTCATTCGTGCATTCGTATATGGTATGTAGTTTATCCTAAACTTCCTTACCAGTAGTGCAAGTGGATATTAACATGAAATCTTCAGAAATTTAAAAGCACAGAAAAAGCAATTTAAATTTTTGCCATTCAGTTTGAGCATTTCAGTTGTTCTTTATTATTCCATTGATTAAAGGAATATAAGTTTTAACTCCATTAAACAATAAAGTGACGGTGATCAACCAACTAGTTAAATCAATAATGCCACATGCGAAAATAAATCGATTGCAAAAAATAAAGCATGTGATCTTTTTCCAAAAAGTTGAATGACATATTTATTCAATCAAAAGGAGATCTGGAGATTAAATAACCTTCCCAACATATGATTAGGCCATAGATTCAAAAATTCAAAGCGTTTTAAAACTTATTTTATGAATCCCTGTCGGGTGATACCACTGAAAGTGTTCAGATAGCACTTGAAATTCATTAGGGGATATAAAGCCCTTATGACTGGCCCAAGGCTAACAAAGAGAGAGGTGAATTGGATAACTTTATAAACCAAAGATAAAACTCAAACCAAAATCACCACAAAGAAACCAAATGCGGAAATTAGAATGTGGAATGAAATAATAAGAAAGAACCACACCGGATTTATAGTGGTTCGGATCAAATCTTGACTACGTCCACTTCCTTGGAGCACCCTCCAAGTATTGGCACTAAAAACAAGTAGTCTCTCCTTTATCCCTGACAGCTAGGACGGAGAAGCCGTTACAAAAATCAACTTCCACTCTTCTTCCGGTGCGGCGGAGTCGCCGGTGTCTTTTGGACACCAAAGAGATTATTCTTCTTTGGTGAACTTCTCTCAAGACAAGCCTTGAATCCGACCGGTATTAAGGTGCAAAGCCTGCCGGAGGCAACCTTGTGGAATCCCCCTCCACACTCCCTTGAGCCCCCCCACACAGGATCGTCTCCCTCTCTTAGTCTTCACCCGTCCATTCACTCCCTTTTAACTTTCTCTTCATAGTTTTCCCCACACAAGATGAAGCATTAATGGCTGCCAAAGACACTTATAAAGTGCCTTGACAAAGCTTAAATAGAAGCTCTCAAAACGAGCTCATTAATGCAAGTTGCCGACATTATCGTCCAGGACGATATCCATATCATGTTGTACGATCAGTACAATTTCAGCTCATCAGCCCGGGATGATTTGGGACGATCAGAAGAAAATTGGTTACATCGTCCTTGATGATATCATGATAGTCCAGGCCGATTAGTTTAAAACTGATTTCAATCATCCAGATCATCGCCCTGAATTCGAGCTGTCCGATGTAGATCGTCCAGGACATCATCCCGGCCGATCCTGCGATCGTCCCGAATGATGTGATCATATCAATCAACCATTAATGCTTTCCAAAGATACCAGATCAATTTAGGCATAATTGAGTTAGATCGGCCTGGATGATATAAATATCGTCCTTGCTGATTTCCTAAAACAAAAGAATTCCTAAACTGATTATGGCGGTTGATTCTTTCTGAATTAAGACTATCGTCCTGGCCGATATAGGTATCGTCCAGGCCGATCTATTTATGACGACTGCCTTAATGAGGATGCCCTAATTAGGGTTTATGATTTTGGACATATCATCCAGGATGGTATAAATATCGGCCCAAACGATATTACAAAAAATAGAAATCTACTAGGGAACAACAGGAAAACTTCCAAGTTACAAACCAACAGGTCCCACACGAAATACAACAGACTCAAGAAAGGAAAAAGATTACAAACTGACTCAGACCTAGTATACCAAATCTTGAGCTGATTCCAAATTGCAGTCCGATCGTGTGAACTTGAAACATTAGTTCGTAAGGCAATCATAGAGAAATAAGAAATGTTTGCTATCATCAAAATCATAGACCATAGTTCTGCAACATTAAGGACCTTGTAACCTTCTTTTTTATTAACGCATATGCCTCACCGAGGGTTTCTAAAAGAAAAAGGAATTTCAAAAAGTCAAAAATATATATTTTTAATAAATATTAAAAATAAAAATAAAAATACTTTCACCATAAAAATAAAAGTATAATAATGGAAAATAAAATCCCTACAACAAAATATTAAAAATAAATATGAAAAATTAAATAAGTAAATAAATAATTTAAAAAAAATAAAAACTCAAATGATTAAAAATTTTCATGAATTTCATTTTAGGTCATTTTTACCTATGATGAATATTTGAACAGTCGAATCCTTTAGGAGTAGAGAGAACACGTCTGGTTTCCTAGAGAGAGAAAGGTCCGTCTTCTTGTTCAAATTTTTGTTTTATGTGATTTTCCCCGGCCAGTGGAGTCATCGCCGGAGGATCATCGGCGATTCTTTGCCGATGTCATGAACGCTCCGCGACCCCCTGGTTCTCTCTGTATCGGTGGTAGAGGAAGGAAAAGTGTGGTTATCAAAGAAGGCCTGAGACCTTTGAATCATCCTGTTATGGTGGATGGCAAGGGGAAGAAGGTGATGATGGAAGGCGTTGCAGGCCAGATTAATGAATATTTAAAGAAGAATAAAGGTACTAGTTTTTCGACTAATCTTGATTCTTTGTCGATGGATGATCTCATCCTGAAGGTGAAAGGTTTTTCTGGTGTGAATAAGGATCACCTTGTGTTTAATGATTTGAAGAATATTGAAAATTTGAGGTCTGATGATATTAATGAAGTTGGGATTGTTTCTGGAAAAGATGTGATGAATGATGAAATCTTGATGACAAATTTAGATGTTAACAGTAGATAGGATGGCAGCGGTGAGGTTGTTGGAGCATGGTCGAAGCCAAAACACATCAAGATTGCTTTTAATAGAGAGCAAATTGAGTTATCTGAAGACAGGATTGTTGTTAGGCTTAATCTAGAATCGGCAGCAAAAAATTATAAAGTGTTGAAGCACTCATTAGTGATTAAAGTCCTTGGTAGCAATGTTCCTTTCTCAGTCTGTAGTATTGAGCTGAGAAGGTAATGGAGTAAGTTTGGTGGATTCCACATGACATCAATTGGCATGAATTGGATTCTTTGTTCCTTCAAGTCGGATGAGGCGGTGGAAGAGATTCTGAATGGTGGGCCGTGGTATGTCAGTGGTTACATTGTCGGCATGGACAGATGGTTACCTGCATTTGATCCGTATTCTTTTAAAGGAATTTCAGCTCCAGTTTGGATCAGATTCCCATGCTTGCCCTTATACTGCTGGGATGAAGAATTGCGTCTCGGTTTGCCACACCAATGTATCTAGACAGTAATACATTAGGTGGGGGAAATGTGAATTTGCCCGCATATGTGTCAAGATTAACCTGGAGAAAAAACTCCCTAATGGAGTATGGATAGACGGATTAGCTGTGAGATTCTTTCAACAAGTGGAATACGAGAAGATTAATCTGTTGTGTTACAATTGTGGTTGAGCAGGGCATGAGGTGAATGAATGTCCTGAGAATGTAGCTCAGGGTATTAAAGACCAAATGTTGAGAAAACCAGTTATTGAAACAGAGGAAGTAAAACAAGTGGTGGCCGAAGCCAAATCTTTTGTGATTAATTCCGAGTATGGCCCTTGGATACATGTTCAATTTAAGAACAAATGTTTTACTAAAGGAGTAACTGCTGGTAAACCAAGGAATGTCATAAATGGGGTCAGGACGGACAACAGGGTAAATACGAACCAAGTGAATATTAAGCAGAAGCAAGCACTAAGTAAGAAGGGAAATGCTGATGTTATGGAGAAATTTGTATCTGCTCCAGAATCTAGTTCAAATAAAGATAAAGTTACTGAAGGTATACAACCAGGTATTTCGCTAAGTAATAAATATGATGCTTTACTTGAAGACAATGAAGAAGATTCTTTGAGAAAGCATGGAAAGTCTGATAAAATGAAGGAATTGGCTGTGGAAATAGATGATACAGGTGCTGTCAATAATGGCACATCTTGCTTCAGTGGTTCTACTAAAGTTAAACTTGCCAAAGAGCTAAAATCTTTGGGGCCATTAGATCCAGATTACAATAAAAAGAAGAGGGATGGAAGGCTGAATTCCACAAATGGGGAGGGATCCCCAGCACTAATATAATGTCTTATTTATTATTTTGGAATTGTAGAGGAGCTAGGAAGAAAGAGGTTGCTCTGTATTTGAAAGAGGTTGTTAGAGTTCAAGGCATTTTCTTCATTGGGCTGATGGAGAAGGACTAGGAGTATTTCCACTTTCCCGCTGTTGGTCTTTCAGGGGGTATTCTGGTGCTTTGGAATAAGAAGATTGTGACAGTTGTGGTCAAAGAGACTTCTTCACAAATGATAGGTGGGGATCTCCTTATCCCTAATTTGGGATTGTGGAAAGTTGTCACTGTAGAAGCAGATGTTGTAAGAAGAGGGAGAGCCTTTGGAGCCAGCTTGGAAGTTGTATGGAGAATTCTACTCTTCTATTATTGGTGGGGATTTCAATTGTGTTTTGAACAAAGAAGAGAAGAGAGGTGATAAGAGCTTCCTTTTTTCTAAAGGACCTAGAGATATGAAGTGTTTTATGACGAATTTTGATTTCCATGATTTGGGTAACATTGGACCAAGGTTTACTTGGTGCAATAACAAAGAAGGAGCCTCCCAGATTTGGGAAAGGCTGGATAGGTGTATTCTGAACTCGGCTGCACTTCAGAAGATTCCTAAAGCCGTTACTAGACATCTAGTTAGAGTGGCTTCGGATCATAGTCCTATTGCCTTCAAGATTGATGAAAAGGTGCATATCAAATAAAAAAACCATCAAATTTGAGGATATTTGGTGATCTTATCCAGCTGCTAAAAGTATTGTGTACCATTCTTGGAAGAAAAAGGACTTTGGAGATGAAGGTATGATTTTACAAAGGAAGATTATTAGAACTTTAAAAGAACTATTTTTTTGGAGTAAAAATAAGTTCAAAGATTTGAACAAGATGAAGGAAGAATTGAAAAAGAAGATTTTGGATCTCCAACATAAAGAAGCTGTAGGAATTGATTGGTCAGTTGATGATCTTCTTTTACTCAGAAGCAAAATTGATGAACTTAATGTGACCTTGAGAAGATTGTCCACTTGGTGGAATCAAAGGGCAAAAGCAAGATGGCATGAAGAAGGAGACGTTAACTCAAAATTGTTTCATAATTTTACTACGGCTAGAAGAAATGGCAATAGAGTGAATCAAATTAAAGATATGAATAATAAGATTCAAGTTGAAGAAGATAAAATTGAGGAGATTTTCATTCATTACTTTGAAGCAAAATGGAAGGCTAGAGATTGTGAATTATCAAGTTGGCCAGAGATTTTTGAGAACAAAAAATGTAATATAGAAAAGTTTACTGCTCTTACCAGTGAATTTTCGGTGAATGAATTATAGCAGTCGGTCTTTCAGCAAGGGTGTAATAAATCACCAGGTATGGATGGTCTCACTTCCTCTTTTTACAAATGTTATTGGGATATTGTTTGGGAAGATCTTTGGAATGCTATTAGATGCTTTCTAATTTCTGTCCAAATGAGATCAGATTGGAAGGATACTCTCATAGTTCTGATTGCTAAGGTGAAGAACCCTTTAATTCCGGGCCTATTAGTCTATGCCAGACTAATTACAAGATTGCAGCTACTATGCTAGTTAATCGATTGAAGACTTGTATTTCCAAAATGATTTCTGAAGATCAGATGGCCTTCATCCTGGGAAGATCAATTTCAGAGCATTGTCTTATGGCTCAGGAGATCTTTCACAAGTTCAAAACCTCCAAAAATAAGTAGGGGTTGATGGCTTTGAAGTTGGACATGGAGCAAGCATACGATAGCATGGGATGGCTAACTCTTGGCCAAATTCTAAAATGGTATGGTTTTCCTTCTATGTATTCTAACCTTATTATGGAATGAGTTGTAGATGTGAGATTTTCCATTATTATTAATAGAAAGAATTCCAAGTGGATCAAAGCTCATAGTGGATTCCGTCAAGGATGTCCACTCTCCCCTTACCTTTACATCATGTGTTCTCAATTGATGTCTAACTCTCTTGAGCAAAGGGGTCAAAATCTTGGCATACAACTCTCTCCTAGAGGGCCAAAGATTACGCATCTTCTTTATGCAGATGATGTACTAATCTTCTCATATGTCTCCATGGCTTTAGCTAAAGTTTTGAAGGGTATTGTTGAAGACTTTTGCAAATGGACGGGGCAAAAAGATTTAGTACCTGATAATTCAGAATGTCTGGATTGAGAATCCTTGAAGGGTTGATATGAGATGTGTTGAAACTTGTTAAATACGAATTAGGTTGTTAGACCTAAGCTTATGTTCTAATGGCAAATGAAGAGGGGGATGAATTGGTAATTTAAAAATTCCTCTTTTAAACTGATTATATTTTTAATGAAAATTTAAAAAGATGTTTGACCATAGATAACTAAAAAAGTAAAGTAAAATAAAAGAAAAGCAGTGGAAGATAAAAGACACAAGATTTATTATGGTTCGGTCAAACACGACCTACATCCACTCCCTAAAGTCTCCCACTTCAGGTATTGCACTATTACCACAAGTGTCTCTCGTTTTGCCCCCATAGCAAGGCGGAGAAGCCTTCACAAAAACTCTCTTCCACCACTAACCGGTGCGGAAGAGAACCGTCATCCTTTTACACCCTCCAAGTGATGGCAGAGAACCGTTGGCTTTTTTTTTTGAAGAAATGCAGAATGCATTAGTGATAAAAGCAAAAAGCAAGAAAGATACAACCTAGTGAGAGCTACTGACTCTATCACATTCCTCTTTTACAAGTTTGGTAAAGGTAGAAGGAAGTGAGCTCTCACAAAAGACATCCCAAAGAAAATCATACTAAAAAGCAAGGTTAGCACAATAGTCGGCTACCTTGTTACAATTTCTATCCACAAAATGAAAAATGATGTTATCCCAATTATTGGAGAATGAGATATCTTGATAAATGAAACTGTCGCCTTTATCCTTCAATTTGCTATACAAATTATGAAGGAAAAGTATCACGTTCTTATTGTCTCCTTCCAAAATAATACCTTTAGTATTAAAAAAAAAAGCCTTTGAAAGCCTCCTTAAGAGAGCTGAAAGCCAGAAGTTCAACCTGGGAACTATCCAAGTGAGTTCCATGAAAGCCGAATGCCATGATAAATCTACCTTTGTAGTCCCGCACTATGCCTCCGATGGATGCTTCGTAGTTCTTCTTTAGAGCAACATCAACGTTTATTTTGTACCACATGGGTGGGGGAGGACGCCAGAACTCGTCAAACGGTCCTAAAGACCGACCAGCATCCTAGTAATCTGAGATTTCCTTGTTAGCTTTATCCAAATTCACAAAATTGATAATTTTTGCTGCAGCCACAGAACTGCTGTCTTCCATCTTCTGGTGAATCATCTGGTTTCGGTTGATCCAGGAAAACCAGAGCAAGGCGAAGTAAAGTTTCACTAGTAGTTTATTGTCTTCATACACAGCTTTTAGCCCATTCAAGCAATGTTGAAAGGAGCTAAAAGTCGGTATCGGGAACCCCCACTTCCTCAATTCCGTGATCACTTCCGTAAGCTTAGAACATGTGGTAGAAATGTGATCAATATCTTCCACTACCCCGCAGCCTCTAGGACACAGATTGTATCGACGAAGCTTCCTTCTATTCAAGAACTGAGCATAGGGATTGCATCTTTATTCAATCTCCAAATGAATAGCTTAATTTTAGCATTCATTTACACCTTGTGAATCCAAGCATTTTGGTCTTCCACAGTTTCTTCCCTCACTCTTACTTCTCTTAGAAAAGAAGAGATAGATCTTCCGAACAACTTCTTTTTCAACTCCATGAAATCTGAATCTGAATCTTGGACAATCTGGATATTACAAATCAATTCCAGTAGCTCTTTCCCAAAGAACAGAGCAAGTTTCTCTTTGTTCCATCTGCCATCTTGAATGAAGTAGTCCAAGGTAGAGTTATCATCTTCAAAAATAGCCACATAGGTTGGCCATCTATTTAAACATTTGTCCAAGATCCAAATATCCTTTAACACCTTAATACTCTTTCCATTAACAACCTTCCATCTTACAAAGCCTTTCAATGCCTTCCAGCCACTGGATATGATTTTCCAGGCGGAAGAACCACGACTTAAAGACTCACGACTCAACCATTATTTACCATATTTAGCTGTAAGGCTTTTATTTAACAAGGAGTTAGGATATATTACCATATTCCAAGCAAACTTAGCTCTCATTTGTTCCATAGAAGAAGCAGCCGAGTGAAGACCCCAATCGCCCAAAGACTTTGGTTTGCACACTTCATCCCAGGACACATAGTGCATTCCTTGTCTACCATCAAGTTTGTTCCAAATGAAATTCCTTGAGATCTTCTCAAATTCCCTCAAAACACTTAAGGGGATAATAGAATGAGACATAAGAAACAATGGGAAATTACCCAAAACATGATTAGTCAAAATCAACCACCCCGCCAATGAAATATACATGTTCCCCCATTTGTTAATGGTTCATAGATTTGTCTATAAAACCTTTAAAATCAGCCTTTCTAAGTCTTATGAGAGTGAGTTTGGTACCCAGATAGTCCATTTCTTCGACTTGCTTTATCTTTAACAACCTTGATATCTTCTTCTTCCTTATTTTGTTGACGGATTTGTTACATATCATGGCTGATTTTTGAGTGTTCACACTCAAACCAGTCCAAGCACAATAATTGGTCAAAATATTTTTAATCTTCTTGATACTTTTGATCTTAGCATCAGAAAATAAAAGGACATCATCGGCATAAAGCAAATGAGAAACCCTGGGAGAGTTGGGAGAAATTTTGATGCCAATATCCTTGCCATCCCTGGAAAAGCCATTAGAGAGAAGTTAGGAACAAATAATAGAAAGAAAGGGAGAGAGTGGGCAACCTTGACAAAACCCGCTCTTCCCTTCAATCCAATTAGAAAGACCACCATTAATTGAGATAGCTTATCATAGGCTTGCTCCATGTCACCATCATTCTCTGAAGAGTTTTCCAACTCATGCTATCGTAGTCTTGCTCCATGTCAAATTGGATAGCAACCATGCCATCAATTGCTTTAGACGCCCTGATTTTATTCGAAACTTCTTCAGCTAGTAATAAGTGATCAACGATGTTTCTACCTTTGATAAAAGCAACTTGTTCTTCTGAGATAATCTTTGGAATGACCATTAACAACTTTTGTGTTCAAAAGAATTTTACCTACAATTTTATAAATGGAGTTACAAAGGCTAATTGGGCAGAACCCAGCCAGTGTTACTGGGTTGTTAATGGTCTGGACGAACAATTCAAAATGAAAAATCTAGATGAAATCATCCAGTGATGAACATGAAAATCATCTGGATGAATAGTTCAAAGTGGGAGTTCAGAGGACATTGTCTAGGGATGAACATTAAAATTATCTGGATGAATAGTTCAAAGTGAGAGCTAAGAGGACATCGTCTAGGGACAAACATAAAAATTATCTAGACAAATAGTTCAAAGTGAGAGTCCATAGGACATCATCCAGGGATGAATATGGAAATCTTCTGGATGAATATGACTTAAAAAAATTTTTACTCACCCTATGTTCATTCCATTTGCTCTTGGAGGAGTATAACTGACCTGATCGTCCCGTACGAACATAGTTCATCCTATACGATCAATATTAAAAATTATGAATTTTAAATCTCTCCCCTGATGTGTGTGTGCTGAGTTACTAAATTATAATCACATTCTCTCAGATTCAAGCAAAGGTAAAATACAAACTCCAAGTTACAAAATATTATAAGCAGATCTTGATTTGAAGTCTCCAACAATCTGGAGTATGATTTTTCTAAAATTTTAATACACACAAGAGCCAAAAACAATTCTTACAAAATATGTTAGGAGAAAATAATAATCAAAATAATAATATTTGGAATCATCAAAACATATAAGTTATAAGAATACAAAGCTAAGTAGCACTACAGGAAAAATGGCAAATACCGGCGGTTTGCACCGGTGGTTTATGGACCGTCGGTATTACCGACGGCTCCGGCGGCGGTTAAGCCGTCGGACTCTAATGACGGCCAAATTGGCGGCTTAGCTACGATACACCGCCGGTATTACCGACGGTCTATAAATCGCCGGTAAACCGTCGGATATCAACATGAACCGGCGGTCGAAACCGCCGTTGATAAGTGATTTTGTTCCGGCGGCCCAGACCGCCGGAAAACTGCCGGTAAAAGCCATGAACCGGAGGTTTCCGGCGGTCTAAACCGCCGTTGATAAGTGATTTTGTTCCGGCGGCCCAGACATCCGGAAAACCGCGTGTAAAAGCCCTAATACGAGCCCCCCGCTCCGCTCATCCATTTCACGCTTTCCTTCTTCTCTCTCGTCGCTCGCTCTATCT